GGAGGGATCTATACAGGCATGCACATGAGTCCACCATATTCTCCTCTAGTCCTGGGTAAGACTCATGCCATGAAAGTATGTGACTTCAATAATGAAATTGCAGATGGGATCCCCTTCCAAGATGTCTGCACACTGGAAGGAAGCTGGCAAGATTACCTTGGGGAAACATTTGAGGAACCAGGAACACTGCTCAAGCATGGTGAGTCAAGTCCTGAACATGCTTAGAAAAAGGCAGCTGCCAAAGCAATGAAGATGGGCAAGGTTGACTCCATGAGTTTGGTGAAAAATGCCAAGGAAGAGATTTGGATAGGAGAGATCATGGGCCTTAGCCAGGACCAACTACAAAAAACAGTTTATGGATTTGTGACTGCTCACTACTGTGAGTGGCCAGAGTATTTAGTGTCCTCAATCTCTGACAAGTGCTATCAGGATTAGCATGCAGAGATCCCTTGTCAGCAGTGCCGTTCAAGAATGTTGGTCATCATCAAGCAGAAATGATAGCAGCCTGCTACAAAAAACAGTTCATGGATTTGTGACTGCTCACTACCATGAGTGGCCAGAGTATTTAGTGTCCTCAATATCTGATGAGTGCTATCAGGATTAGCATGCAGAAATCCCTCATCAGCAGTGCTGTTCAAGAATTTTGGTCATCATCAAGCAGAAATGATAGCAGCCTGCCATCTTCCTGAAGGATTTACCTTCAACCATGACCCAAGTCACATGTGGATGACAACAGCTACCCAGCTGCTGTCCTTTTGGCACAAGTGACAGGAATCCCATCCAAATGATGTGTTTGGATTTCAGAAATGGATCAATTGATCTGGCAAGCTGCAGCCACTGGTGGATAGAACTTTGGTACCCCTCCAGGTTGCAAGGCAGCAGAAATACTGAAAGACACCTGCCCCCAAATGCAAAAAGCATCCTGGAAGGAAAAATGTCAAGGGCAAGTGTAAAGCACAGGAAGAGGGAGTGGCAGATGATAGCACAGATGATAGTGTGGATGATAGTGCAGATGACAGTTTGGATCATCACAGTGAGGCTGAGGTGAGTGATGTTGGAACAGATGATCTAAAAAGGTGTGCTATGTGTGATATTCATGTGCAACAGATCAGCACTAACATGATTCTGGTCTTCAGGTATCTGGTGGGAGGCAAAACCATGCCAAGACACCATTCCCTTGTTTTTCCTGCTCAAATCTCCCACCAGCTGATGGTTCCCATAGTAAGTAGCCCTCTGCACATCTGGCCCATGCAAAGACCCCAGTGCAGCTTCCACAAAATAAATTGCTAACTGATGATAATGGGAGGGAAAGCAATGGCCATGATTCCAATGATGAAGCTGATGAAGACACTTATTTGCCCACCCTATCCAATCCAAAGAAATCAGCAACATCTCTGAATAGTGAGCTTCCCACTGTAACTTGCATTTGCAGCAAACCCTGATCTGCACTCAGGGAGCAAGTACACAAATGAACTATGGGACTACTCAGGATATGCAGATGAAGATGGGTTGGAGAGCATTCCCTTCACTGACCACCCAACTGAAGAGGGGTCAACAAGTGGAAAAAAAGGTGGAAAGCTGAAATCCACCCTGAAGCACATGCACAAGGCAAGTTTGGTCTTGTTGAATCAGCTGTTATGGCTAACAAGTTTGTGCTGTGTGTTAAGCAGGCCCTGTTGGAATCAAGTGAGCCAGGACATGAATTGACATCGACCTGGGGCCAAATACTCATCCAAGTCCAACAATAATGGATCCATGACCACCAATGCAGCATCTACAAATGTGACACAGGGTGTCCCTGGGAGCACCTGGAAGTCACCTCATGTCAGAAAGGCCCCTGCAAGGCCAGGATGCAGATGTGCCATCTCCTGATAGCAAAGAGACTGTGGAAGCAAACAGGCAGCAATTGGAAGTGGAAGTAGTTGTCAAATCCCTCAAACAGTCAGAGTGGGAAATTTTTTTTTGGAACTTGTGTCTGGTCTATAGAGGGATTGGCCTAGTTTTACACCTTAGAATACAAGTTTATGGCATGTATGGTAGCCTCATGACACCATGGTGGTTGTGAGAGGATTCTTTGATATCAGGGAGAGGGATAGTTAAGTGGGAAGGTTGAGTGGGACAGGTCTATGTATTGGCCATGTGGATAGTGACTGGTAGCTATCTATGTAGGGGGATATTGCTGCTCATCTCCCACATATTGCTGCTCTCCAAAATTTGGCTACATCCACCATTGTCCAACCTTGCTTCCCATGGTGTGAATGATATTCTTGCCATTGTTCCTACAAGTTTAAATCTTGATTGATCATCAAGCTATCAGTGAACCCATCATTGTCAAATATGTCTACTGAACAGTCCCTACCAAGTTCATTTCCATTGTTGAGGTGAGGTTGTCTTCATTGTTGGATCCAGTGACCTAAGCCATCCACAGCTAATGTAAGATCAATTGAGACAAGGCAATCTAGCTCATGCATGAAACAATCCAAAAGTCTGGAGCAGAGGCTAGTACAACTGCATGGGATGCATGAGCCAACCCCTCTGCCAATTGTCTCAAGTGGAAGGGTGGATATAGCTGGTTGAACATGGATATTGTGGCTGGTGAGTGGGTATGATTTCTCTCCAAGCTCAATAACAAATGTCTTTTGGCTATAGATCCATGTGAAAACTTGCTGGATTGGTTCCTGCAGGAAAGGGAGCCAACCCCTCCAGTGGATGGGAATCATGGGCAGGTCTTCAACACCTGCAGAAGATGTTACTATGCAGGTCAATTGTCTGGCAGACTTGCAGAATGTGCAGGAACCATCACCTCCACCCATCATCCACAAATTGTCAAATCTGAGGGACAGGTTTCCTTGACCCATTTCTGCACCTAACCTGCTTGTTCAATTGCAGGATATAAGGGGAACCAATGCCTCCCCCACTCATTCCAAATGTACCCATCCAATCTTTTGACTTGGCAGTGGATGAGGACAATGGTGGCCAAATGATCAGAGATGAGGGATCTGTTCAAAGAAATATGCAACAGTGAGTAGTTATTTTGTGCATTCCATTAATGGGATCAGTGATATCCATCAATTATGTAGGTGAACTTCCATCCAAACAGCAATCTCTTGAAATGGAACAATGGGGATTGGCACCTGTTCCACATCACTTCAGTCAACCCCCTTTGGAGACCAATTAGGTCTACATATTTCAACAGCTGTATATACCTATGCAGTCTTAATAGGTCAGGTATCTCCAGCCACTGGCAGGGAAAATCTTCTCTCCAGCACCATGCTTGGGGATTCTCCACACCTGCCATTTGATAGAGGTGGGAGAAAAGGATTTTTCCATAATTAATATACATTATCCTGAATATGTCAGGGTGACTGGGGTCCAGATGGGCCTTTCTCCAGCTGAAGACATTTTCCATCCTAAAAAGGACCCAAATGAAGCTTTCCCCAGCCAAAATAGGGCCTCAGTAAGGGATTTTCCATGCCAAAAAGTACCCAAATGAAGCTTTCTCCAGATGAAATTGGACCTCAACAGGACATTCTCCATGCTAAAAAGGACCCAAATGACACTTTCCCCAGGTGAAATTGGACCTCAATGAGACATTCTCCATGCTAAAAAAGACCCAAATGTGATTTTCTCCAGGTGAAATTAGACCTCAATGGGACATGCTCCATGCTAAAAAGGACCCAAATGCAATTTTCTCCAGGTGAAATTGGACCTCAATGGGACATTCTCCATGCTAAAAAGGACCCAAATGTGATTTTCTCTAGGCAAATTGGACCTCAATGGGACATTCTCCATGCTAAAAAAGACCCAAATGCAATTTTCTCCAGGTAAAATTGGACCTCAATGAGACATTCTCCATGCTAAAAAAGACCCAAATCAAATTTTCTCCAGGTGAAATTGGACCTCTATGGGACATTCTCCATGCTAAAAATGACCCAAATGAAACATTCCCCAGTTGAAATAGGACCTCAATGGGACACTCCATGCCAAGGACCACACATTGTTTTGCTTGGGGTACATGGTGCATTCAGTAGGTGAATCTGGCATGAAACCAAGTCATGAATGCTGCCATGAAGGATCTCAGAACTCCCAAGGTGGAAAGTGTTAAGTCCATGTCAATGATGTGTCACAGCACCCCAGTTGTTGTTGAGTGAGTGCAGCTTACTCAGTATCAATTTCTTCCCCAGTTTGTTTGGAGCATTAGTTCTGACACAATGTACTCATGTTCACAACTGCACTGCTTTCAAGATGCTGGTGAGATGACACAACTGAATCTTTCCCCTGAATTGGTTGTGATTGTGCCAACTTCCTCCAAGTGGGTGTTCCAACCATGGTGTGGAGATTTACCAAGTAACCACCTAGATGCATAATGCCAACCACTTTACTAGGGGATCCTTCATGCCTATTTTTGGTATTTCCTGCCAATTCTTCAGGGATGTGCTTGTAATTTTTGCACTTTTCAGTAGTTCCATTAACATATTTACATTCCTGATGTGAATGTGATCACATATTACAGACATTCAATGTACATCTCCAAACTCTAGTATCTACATCTTTTTGATGGTAATTGAATTGATGAGGATGGCAAGTAGCCATTTTCAAGACCCTCCAACCACCCTTCATCTTCTGTGAATTCCTCTTCATCTGTTTGTCCAATATCATACTCTTCTGAAAGTGCCATCTCTCCAATGGCCTCCAATAGTTCATCACCTTCTGATATCAAATCCTCCCACTCACAGTCATAGTCTTCTGGTTGTTGCTCAGCTGCATGGTGTATGGCAGGCACTCCACATGGCTTGTAAGGGGCTGAATGAAATGCTGCTATGTCCTCTGCTGTGGCTCCCCAGGCCTTGATGGAGGCCAAGCATGTGGTATATGTCAAACCTTGGCTTCCCATTTCGTATATGCTTCCACCAGGCTATCCTTTTGTGCTTGCACATGATACTTGTAACATTCATCTACAAAGTGACAAACTCAGAAACCATGTGATATCAATAATAACTCTACTCACCAGCATTATTCTGAGCAGCCTCTACACTTTGCCACTCCACAGAAAACCACTCCTGTAAAATGGTCTGCTCTCTTAACAACCTTCTTTCTTCTTCATTGCAACAATCAACCTCCAACAAAAGTCTTATTCCCTTGCACACACCCTCATCAGCAAGCCAACCAGGGGGATCAGGGTAACCCTCCTCAATTCCAACATCCTGCCAAATATCACTATCAACATCCAGTTGAAAAATACCCTTAGATGGTATGGGAGGAGGAGCAATTACACCAGGAGGTGCTTTCTGCAGCTGAATCATACCCTGCAATTCACCACAGAGATTATTATATGCTGTGACTAGCTTCAGTACAGTGGGTTCTCATTGTTGGCATGCAGTGCACACTGAAGGACATGCTGTGCACTGGTACCTTGGGGAAAATGTGTGACACATTTGCACACATCAAGCAAGGTTGCAAAAAGTAAAGCAAGGCTGCAGGGAAGAAGGCACAGGCTGGTGCATCAGTTGTTAAGTGGCAGGCTTGTCCTAACAGGTCCAAAACTAACATGCAACAGTGCAATCCATGAAGGCCCTGAAGGCTGGTCTGTCAAAGTGGACCAACAACAATGATGTCATGGAGGTGGTCAAAACCTGTGGGCATGGCAAGGGAAAGGCACCCATGTGTGGCAGGGTAGACGAGAGGACTGCCACAGGTCTGTCTCAGACACTTGTGCTGGTACAGGCTGAGGCCATTGCTGCACATGTAGCAAACCTTTGTCTGCAAGTTCACATTGAGCAGCTGTCAGAGGCCCTGGCAAAGTTGGGAGTAGAGTAGCCATTTGTACTGCATGTAGACCTGAGTCTGTTTCACACCCTGTATCTCCTGTGCCCTGTGCCTTAAGCATGGGAAGATATCAAGCCTTCTCCCATCCTGCATGGTTGTGACATAAGGCACTGAGAAGGACTTGTCTTCTTTGTGCAACTTTCAACCTCTCTCAGTGGTGAGTCCTTGTAGTATGGTGTTAACAGTGAGATGTGATGGTTTCTTGAAGAGAGAATGAAGGGATTGTGTATTGGGTAACTGGGACAGTCTTTGGGTATCAATTGCAAGGAGGCAGAAGAACTGAAGGGAAAATGGATCAAGGGGCACATGCTGACTGCATGTTCAAAGAGAAAATGTGTGGGGTAGGTGTGAGCATCTGCAGTATACAGTGGCCAAGGATGGGATCAGTGAGACTAGTAAGAGAGTAGGATGGATGTTGTTTTAGCTATATACTCATTTTTGTTATTTTTCTGGACAGTGTTTGACTTTCTGTTAGAGGTTTTTATGTTTTTTGAGTGAGGACGAGGACTAGCTATCAGTAGGATCACTGGACAAAACCTGAGGTGGAACAGAGGTCTCTGGACAAAACCCAGGGCAAAACAGATAAGGAGAAATGAGCTATGTTTGGTATCAAGTGGTATGTCGGTCACCCCTGCAGGGGACTTTGAATGCTGACTGTCCCCAGTTAGTGCAGGAGAAGGAATGAGGATAGCAGAAGAAGCCATGGGGACATGGATGGAGCTGTGGAAGGAGGCAGGGGTATCATGAGGGGAGAGGGGACAAAGGGAGGGCAGGATGGACAGACTGTGGGTACTGGAAAAGGTGGATAGTCAGCTGTCTGAGGCAAAAGCCTTGACATCATCATCAGTGGGGTGATCCTCAGCCTCATCAAGAAGGTGGTCTAGTTCTTCATCATCTAATCCAGTAATGCAAGTCACAGTTGCACAGGTTCAAGACCACAGGTGGTAGGGAAGTAGGCAGAATGCAGCATAGCAGAGTCTGGAGATGGAGCCATCCAACTCAGCCAGCAGGTATGAGCCCCCAGTGGTCTGACAAAGGATGACCATGGGACCTGTGTACCACAGCTTCGTTTTCCAGTTCAGTTCTTTCTCTACATGGGAGTTGCAAATGAGCACAAGGGTGCTGGGAGCAAAGTTATGGTCTTTAATGTGATGCTGAAAGGTGGCTTTGAACTGCTGGATAGACTGGAAGCATGTGCAGAGGACATTATCATGGACCTGGTCTAGATCATCCTGATGCTTCTGTAACTGGCACATGCACCAAGCAATCAGTTCTATGGTAGTCAGTGGTGTCATATCACTATGGGATAGGGGCAAAAGGAAAGTAGCCTCAGCAAGGTTGAATGGGAATGGCAGTTCAACACTATGTACCATGAAATAGGGGGATAGACCCATGGACTTCAAGATGGTGACTTGCTCAGCCCAGAACACAGAGTGTGCAACAGTGTGCCAGTGGCAGTCATTGTTCTTGCAGCTCTTCATGATAGCCTCATGCACATCATAGTGGCAACACTCTACAATGCCATTAGCCTGAGAGTTGTAAGGAGAGATACAGATGTGATGGATATGATATTGTGTGGTAGGGCATCCAAGGCTTGAATGAATGCTGGGCCATTGTCAGTGACAATTTCAGCAAGTTGACCCCAGCAGCACAGAATGTCCTTGAAGATGAAGGATGCAAGTGCAGTACTATTTTCCACATGAAGCATGTGCCATTCAGGATATGAGGTGAGCATGCACTGAGCCTGTACTATGTAGTAGTAGCCACCAGCTTTGGGCATTAGCATTGTGTCAATGTGAGCTTTATGGAACAGGCCTCCAATCATGGGCACAGTGGGAGGGATATGAAGCTTCTGTGTCTGGTGGATCTGACATTCATGACAAGTGCAAACATACCACTTCACATCCTTGACAAGAAGAGGCCACCAAAAGTGGAGAAGAAGGTGGGTGCAGATGGTGAGGACACCTTTGTGTCCAAGGTTGTCATGCACTTCTTTGATGAGGCAATACTGCCATAAGTTGCCATCTAGGAGGAAGAAGTGGCTGGCCAAATTAAAGAAAGATGAGTACTGCACATCAGTAAGGTCAGGAGGCTGTGAGGAATGTGCAGATCATTTCTATCTTTGCCTTGTGTGCTTGAGCTTTCACAGACCATGGAATGGCAGGGTCATCAGGGGTATTGGAAGGGTTATCAGCATGGGCAGTTGCAGAGAATGCAAGATAAAAGGATGCAGGTGGCAGTAAGGAATGATGATCTTGATTGGAAAGGGACATAGGAGGTGGGCAGTCATTGACAGCCTCTGTAGAGAAGGAGTAAAAATGGTCTAGCCAATCCTTGTGATCATCATCATCATCCTCAGGCAGGTTGAGTTCCAACTATGGATAGTGGGACAAGCTGTCAGGGCCAGCATGCCTGTCTGCAGGAACATGCACAAGTTTGAATGAAAAGAGGAGGACACCAGTGATCCAGTGATTGATTGTCACATTAGGCTGCAGATCTGGGTTATTTATCATGCCCTTGATATACTTCACATCTACCTCCACAGTGAAGTTAGTGAGGCCAAAGATGTATATGTGTACTGTGTGCAATGTGGGGAAGAGGCCATACAACTCAAGCTTGGCCTGGGAGTAGCAGCTTTCCACTTCATTGTGGGTAATGGATCTGAAGTGACTAGGGTATCATTTGCCATCTTTGCCAAGCTGATAAAGGATGTAGCCAACTGCAATGACCAAAGTGTTGACAGCTAAAATTACTTCATGACTGCACTCATAGTCAATCCTTTGGAGTGTGGGGGACTTTATGATTTCATCCTTGAGCCATTGCATGGCAGCACATTGCAGCTCATCCCATGTGAATGATATGTCTTTCTGTATGAGTGTGACTAGCAGTCGTGTGATCTTGGTGAAGTCTTTGATGAAGATGTGGAGGACACCACAGACACAAAGGAAACTGTGAAACTGTGTCAGGTTGTGGCACTCAGGCCAGTTGCAGATCTTCTGCACTTTGCTTTCTTCAGGAACACAACCTTCAAAAGTGCACTTGTGGCCAATGATCACAGTGGACAGAGCAGCTAGCATGAACTTGTTTGCCAAGATGGTGGCTCCAATGTTCTGCAAATGCTGAAGGATGCAGTTAACAACTATACAGTGATTCCAGATGAACTTCCAGATCCCAGGGTTCTCTGGGATAGTCTCATAGGAACCATCTGTGCACTGATAGTGGGTGGTCTCAGATTTTATGGGGATGTCATCCATGAAAGGCAAGTATCCTCTTGAACCTTTTCACTCAGTCCCTTGCCACACTCAGTACTCCCATCCCACTAGTACCTGCCACCACACTTCCTACACCCCCACCCCCACCTCTGAACATGATGGCTGGTTCATCATCGAAGGCAATGGTCAGCACTATCACCACCAAAGCCACTGAATTGAAGATTGGTGCCCTGTCTGATTTTGATGGTGACCAAAAGAATGCTATGAGTTGGCTGTACTCTGTACAGACCTACCTCTTAGTAAACGAAGAAATTTACAACAGCAACACCAAAAAGGTTGTCTATACCCTGTCATATATGAAGAAAGGTGTTGCTCATTCCTGGGCAGCAACCTTCCAGAAAACATCTCTGGAAAAGAACCCCCCAAGTTTCAGCTCCTTTGCTGATTGTATGAATGATTTCAAGAACTCTTTCACATCCTCTGACACTGCCAGTACTGCAATTGCCAAATTGCATACCATGAAACAGAAAGATTCAGTGGAACAGTACATCACTGACTTTCAAACTGCTGCCACCGACTCTACCATCACAGAAGATGTCACCTTGATCAAGTTCTTTTCACAAGGACTCAAACCCTTCATCACAGACCACATCCATATGATGGAAACCACTCCCACAAAGATCACAGTGTGGTATACACAAGCACAAAATTTCAACACAAAGTGGAGGAAGGTAAACAAGTTCTCTGGAAAGAAGGAAAGGAGAACATTCTATCCCAAGAACAATCTCACTGAAGAAAAAGATCCAAACACCATGGATGTGGATGGAGTGAGACTCTCCAGAGAAGCAAGAGACCATCACATCAAGGAATGAAGATGTTTTGGTTGTGGAAACAAAGGACACCTCTCTTGAGAATGTCCAGAAAAAGGAAAGACTCCCCAGAAGAAGATAAAGAAAATCCACAAAATTGTGGAGGTTGAAGGAAGCAATGATGAAGAAAAAGTCACTGGCCCCTCTGTCACCTTGGTAAACATCACTAGGGCACTTGGAAAGGATTTTTAGAAGGGAACTCTGTGTTGATGCCAGATGTTCCCCACACTAAGGACAGTTCCATTTCTGTTGTGCCTGTACTAGTATCTTCCACCCCAGATCATACTATGCAAATTCCCATTACACTCTACACATCAGAAGGAACTAAAAAAGCCATCAACACCACTGCACTGGTTGACTCCAGTGCTGAAATATCTTGTATCAATTGGGGATTCA